AAAAGTATGTAGGTGGCTAGTATTACGCAATTGTGTAAAACTTCAATTGAATTTATCTATTTGTGTGATATCACTACAATGCTTAATATCGATTGTATTATTTTCAAAAACTTTCCTATGAAAATAATGTCACAATAAAGTGGTGAAAGGGTAGAAGTCTGAAAGTCTTTGAGAAGGGTTTTTGCAAACAGACCCTACCACCACCTGGATGGTAGACAATAAATTCTCACTACTTCGAGAACATATTTCATACGTAAGCAATTGTAAAATGACAGATCCAGAGTTTAGAAGCTTGAATAGAAACATGTATTTCCGTAAGTTTTATCTATACTGGCTTTGCTTCGTGTAACGTGTTTAAATAAAGTAAATTGAAAGGTTTTCAAATTTCTATATATGAGAAAAAAGCAAAATTGAAATTACTAATTGTCGCAATCGCATTAGCTTGTTCTTGCCAAACTTGGCCGAAAGTTAAATCTTAACTGCGTAGAAAGCTTATCGTAGAAAAACCATTTAAAAGGAAGTAAAACAAAAGGTAATCAGTAAATAAATATTTTACAGCTGCCAGACAAAGTGTAAAGATATCGCAAGAGTAAAAAGGATTAAATAAAAGTTGAACGTAACTAGAAAGCTGCAAGTGAGAAAAATATATTGGCGTTGAGACAAATCTGGTATAGGTAGGTAGATGAATGCATGCTTAGTTTTAAATACGCGTAACTGAACTGCAGACACATTTATACGCAAGAAGAGACAAGCAGACAACCGGACAACCGGATACGATAAATAGATGCTTAGGTAATTTTCGACAATTATTGCATCTTTTGTAAGCATTTCTTGACGTTTCCTTCCGATGACATTTCGTCTAAGTAAATTGCATCTGCACCTGTTCGTTGGTAAATAGTGAATTCAAATTTTTCAAAATCTTTTTTTTCCATCGTATTTGAAGTAAATATAACGAAATTTTTATTATTCATTTATCTGTGCATCTATAGCTTGTCGTTGTTGTTTAGCAAGTTGTTTAAAAGTTGTAACGGTTTATTATTTGTTGCTACCATCACCTTGTTATTGTCAAAGAACATATGCTCCGCTCGTGATGGTGAAGATAATAATGACGATGAGGGTTGGGTATTGGCGGTTTTGTCTTCTTTATAGCCTGGTGAGATATGAACTCGTCTCTTTCTGTGTGCTTCAATTCAAAAAATAGATACAAGTTACAGTCAAAATCCATCACAGTACGCATTGAATGCCGATACTGTTTATTATTTATCGGTTGTGTATTCATTTTATATATATTGCGTCTTCACTATAACTTTAAGTAGGGTTTGTATGCATTTGAAATATCTTTGATTTGACGATACAAACCGTAAATTGTCATGTTATGCTCTTTTGTATGTATTGTAACTTAAGGATGTTTCCCTCGCACATCAATACTGTTTTGAAGCATGTACAAGCAACTGCAAATTATAAGCACATCGAGACTACTTAACATTTTTATTGGCACTTGTGCGATATACATATAGAAAACTTTCGAAAGAGATATTTTGAAATATGTGCGGAAATAGATGCATAAGAATCTTGGAAAGCCTGAAAGAACAACATCAACATTTCAGTTTATAAACGTGCTGCTGACGAGTCTTGTCGAGTATGTTAAGTATTTGGATGATAATAATGCTGACGATATTTATTGTAAAGCTGACACATTAACAACAGCACTAGAAGACGCCAACAACCATTCTAATACTTGCGAAAAGCTGTAAAGTCAGCTGATGCTCTGGCCACGACTGATTGGTCGGGCATATCTAGCTGGTAAAGCATTTGATTCTTCACATATATGTTAATAAATATACGTGTGAGTCCTTCCTTGCAGAAATGTTTACATATATAAATGTACTGTTGGTTGCCCACGCTTTCCGGGATTCTCATACATAAGTATTTTTTTTATAGAACACATTTATATTAGATATACGACTGTTGTCTGGATATTTACGAGATTTCTTATTCTTATCGTCAATGTAAACCTTACATTGGGCCAAGAAAAATTATGAAATATGTATCACGCCATCTACAACTGCCGCTATGCAGCTGCTGATTGTTCTTATTATTATTATTATTATTGTTGTTGTTGTTTTTGAGGTTGTTATCGGCATAGCCTAGTAGCTGTTCTCTTTATGACGGCAATTCTTCGTCTCATAAGAAATGCGCTTATTATTGTATGTCAAGTAACACTTGTAATACTTCGTCAAACATTCACAAACACATGTAAGTAATTCTATGCTTGCACTAAAAAAGGCCAGCCAACCAACCAACCAACCAACAGAAAGACGCATAGATAGCAGAGAAAGACCAAAGGAATGCTTACGTTTGTCACGTATTTTCTTTAATATTCATTTTTTTAACTGCTACAAGCATATATAAGCAAATACAACAGCTGTCGGTATACGTATAGCACTCTTTCACTTGTATATGCTTTCATATACAATCGCATAGTCATGTAAAAACCTTATATGAATTCTAAGGCTCACAAGACATTTAGTAACTTTACTTCCGCCAGTGTTCACTTGTTCTACTCGGTTTTATGTTTGCATCGTAGAAAAGGAAAACTCCATGCACACGCGTATACATATATGGGTATCCTCAATGCATATAAATATGTAAACTTAAAAGTATTCTAGCGTGTGTGTGCGTGTGTATATGTTTACGTAATGAAAACCATTTTTCACATTTTTTCTTAACGTTAAAAATCAACAATAAAATAACGAGTGTGACATGTTTGAAAAAACTCCGTTCGCATATTTGTAGAGCATGTTTTATAAATTTTCTTATGCGAAAGGCAGCATTCATTTCCAGTTCTTCTACTTTTTTTCATAATGTTCTTATTTGTTTAAATTTATTTAGGATTGAATATAAATAAGTTAAAAAAAAATTATGATTCTAGAGTACAGGAACGTGATGTCAAGAAATGTCATTCACTGCAGTGAACTCGTAAAAGAAATTTATGTTTTTTTGCGAAAACCAATAAAATTCTTTATGCGAAGCCATCAAATGATATACAGATGTTTCTTAATAAGAACCGTATAACCGTAATAAGAAATGCGCTCCAAGAGGTATTTCTCTAGACCGTAGATTTTTTAAATGTGTACGAAAAACAATGTGAAATAGAAGAAGAGTCGTTCTAGAGCAAATCTAGTTGTCTTGCGAAGTACTAGTGACAATAAGGTATTGGAGGTTTGATTTGCCGGGAATTATCGAGGATCATTTTTTGTGATAAGTTAATTTGCATCTACGAATGCTTCGTCTTTGTCAATCAATCGAACAGAAGAGTATTACCCAGGCAACGATCAATATATTTATATGTTGTATAACAACCGAAAACAAAAACACGAGAAAAAAGAGGACAAGTAGTGAAAAAATGAATGTACCGTTTACGACCGAGAAGAAAAGTAAAGTCGAGGAGTAAAATCAATTTTTTATACATTGTCGAACTTAAAGTCCTAAATAATTTCAAATTAGTTTTCTTTTAATTAAAGAAAGGAAGATTCTACACTTACACATAACACAGTTTCTATGGTAATTGCCTAATCAAGAATATATCCTAGCCACTGATTTTAGTAATGATATCGATGCTGCTTGTATTTGTTTGTAAGTATTAGTGGTAACAGTTATAAAAATTTTCTCCCAATTCATCTTAAACTTATGTAATACCTATGCATTTACCTATAAAAGATGGACGAAATATTGACGAGACAATGTTGTAACGCAGATTATGATGATAATTTTGTTAAATGACTGCAAACTGACAACAATAGTGTCACTGTAAGCAATACATCAAAATAGTATTTTGTTATTAATAAATTTCTGCGTTGTCTCTTCCTATACATACATGGAAGAGTAAATGTCTGCTTCATCAGATGCACAGTCGCACAGGCAACCGTAGATACGAACACATTTAAGGTAGGTCGTTGAATAGACAAGCAGCTTAAAAGATAAATTGTAGTTATTGCTGTATTTGATGTTGCTTTTTACCGTCTCTCAGTCTGTGTGTCTGTAAGTCTTATAATCGTTTGTTTAAACACAGAAAGGCTTGTAACTTGTTTTTGGGTTGTAAGGCTTAGCGCCTCGTTATATGTCATAGCGTGTCATTATTTATGTGTACAGTTAAGTGTTATTGTAGCTGTTTTTGCTATGTTCGGTTATACTACAATTATCGCGTTTCTTTGTTTCCTTTACATCTAAAATGATATTTCGAAGACATTTATATGCTTTCGTAGGACATATCTACAGCGCTTAACAATCCACGTAATGGTCCATATGCGTGGAAGTGAACTTTAAACGATGAAAATACCTTTTTTGTGTTTGAGTTTGTTGTCGTCGTCGCGCTTTGTTGAGGTGATTTGCCTTCCTTGACATATCTCGGTTATCATATGATCCCTGTTTAAATACAATTTTACTATTTGTTGTTGTTGGCAAACTTCTTAAATTGCTTTAAGATGTTTTGTCTCTTTCTATAATCATTTTATTCACGTAGTTACGTAAGTACAACCAACACAGAAACGTAAATCTTTTGTTATGGTAGTGTAACAATAAACTATAACTTAATTATGTTTAAAAGTTTTTACATAAGCACAATATCTGTGGGTGGGTTTATTTCACATAAACTTGGTAACTCCAACGATCTTTGTTATTTGTAAATATATATATCATGGAAGGGAGTTGTTGTTGTTGCTGTGCAGTGATTGCATTTTCTGATTCGCATTAACATGCATTTGGGTTAAAACGAGTGCTGTGGAAGTTCAGTCTTCAGATTATGTTTTATGAAGTTATACTGTGTCAAACGCAAAAACATGCATTTGTATTTTAAATGCTTTCATACAAATATTTACATATTATTTACACCTTCTTTTTCAAGAGAATGAATTGCGCCGTATTTACAGAAAGAATTTTTTAATATTTTGCTTCTTTCTTTTTTGATAACAGTTTTAATTGACGATTCGTTAAACACTTACCCGTTTACCTCGTTTGCCACGGGGGCCCTTCTCCCCCGGTGGTCCCGGCGGCCCAGCAGGACCTGTTTCGCCTTTTCCTCCTGGCTCACCGGGCGGTCCTAGAACAGAAAAAACAAAGCATGAAATTTTCTTTAAACAAATATTTTCGGCTTTCAGTTATTAGGACCTCTGTTTGGTCTTATAGGATAGCTAGGACTTTTATTCTCGCTTTCAGCTACAGTAAGTTGGCAAACATACAGTTGAGTTTTAAATTAATCGTTCCTGTCAAATGGCCTCTAGAACTATTCGATCCAGTGAGAGTACTTAATTCGGTAATTGACCCACTGGACAATATATAAAGGAGCCATGGCTTTACTTCCATTTACTCATTCTCTGGCTAAATGTGTGCACTATTTGGTGAATGAGGTTCAACGTAAGCAAACGCTATTTGCTGCAAATAAGCGGCGTAAATTTCTAACGTGCCCTGAAAAATTCAAAGTTAGTTGTCATTGTCCATTCAATCAGTGGAGGCCTTCAGTCTACTCTTGGGGGAATTTTAAAAAATAGCCTTTTCTCGGCAGGTTAGCTGTGATAACTGCAAATATCATAACGTCGTTTTTCTCATTGAAAGAGGGGCGAAATATTAGACAGGCAAATGCCTGCTTGGTCGCTAATTTGCACCTAATGCTAATGTTTGAATTTACTGTTTTGATTTTCGAACATGGTAAACGTATGTATCAAGCATGCAACTTTTTATATTCATTCTCGCAATTTCAATTGTCAACAGCCAAGGTCGAAAAGAATAGCTGAACAGATATAGAAAATCCTCCGTGATCTTTTTGAAGGCTTTGAAGTTTAAACATGCCCACGACAGTTTTCGCACCCTGTACTTTGTATATATATATGTATCCGGATCAACATATGTACGGATGTTTTTATTGTATTTTCACACTGTATGCTGTATGCTAATTAATATAATCCACATATTCGCTATCTCGCTCCTGTCAGTCCTATTTGCATGCCACACGTGAATATGTAAAATTAATTACCATAATTATGTACAGTATTTTCTTTTTTTCTCTGGTTTTTTACGTCTCTTTTCGATTTGAATTTATCGATGTTGATAACAAGTAATGTTGTTTTATAAATAAAAATTAACATTAATTGTTTTAAGATAGTTTTCCCCGTCAGTAAACGTCGCAAATCATAGGGTTTAAATAAACCAATCAGGTTGTTTGTTCATTGTGTCCGCTTATTGACAATGCATTGTTTTAATTGCGTTAAAATTGAAATGAAAGTCATTATAGCACGTTTTTGTACATTTTTTATTTCCCCTCACGGTAAATGGCCGGTACCACTATAGCTCCTGATATGGTTGTAATTAATATGTAAAAGATATGGCTGGCTATTAATAATAACAAAAATAAATAAATAAAGAATGATTGTAAAAATAAAATGTAATCAAAAATTTCTATGGGAAATGAATGCAAGCACGAACAGAATTTAATTAAACAAATCTCATTCATTATTTTCATTAATTTAATAATCTTAGAAATTTGTTTCCTCTGACAACAGAAGCCGTACACATCATTTACGCAAATTAAACGCAAAAAGAGGACATTTGTTTTTCAATACGAGATTTCTATTAAAGATCAAATCTTAAAACAATAAATTGTATGGGAAATTAATAAAGCAGTGCAAGCTTTATTGAACAACGCAGAATATTTAAGTAATTAAAATTTATCTTCTTAACAATCGTACCCAAATTAAAATCGTGCCGAAAACCAAATCAACTTTCGGTAAAGCTGCTATAGATAATAAACACTTATTATTAGCATGGAGCTCGGAATTAATTTCGATACCTAGCGGTGGCAACATTGCGTTACAACGAAGTAATTCTTCTTTATTTTCACGTCGATTTTGCAGCAACCGTATCGTTTGCAAAGAACTTGTAAAACACACGTTCTTTTGTTGCCATTTCGTCCGATAGCCTCGTCTTCCTAGTGAAAGCACTTTGCCTTCACTGCGAAGATTTCGCGATTTCCTGATGAAAAAATGAACCAAGTGATTTTCAAAGGTCAAAGGTCTCTTGTGAAACAGCTTTGTACAAGTAAGAAGGTTTCTTGGGGAGTGAAAAAACGTTCCAAATATAGGAATCAATTATTTGCCCTCTATGAAGCAGCCGCTCTCGATGCTCGATTATATTCAAATCCCAATACAAGCTATTCCTTTACGCAGCGTCAATCCCGGCTTTCCCACCTGTTGCTCAGCTCTATCCGCCTTGAGTTATGTTTTTTTTATGCATTATTGTCGTATATACATCACTTTTCATCGAGCCCCATCAATCTCTCTAAAAATGATTCGATTTAGTTACGTTTCAGCAGTAATTTGCATTTCTATGAAATCATTAGCGAATGGTCGATAGAAAAATAGTAAGTCATTTGCGTGCCGCTGATTCTGATAAAACACCTTCTCCACAAACGCTACCAATTTCAAGCTGTATGCGAAGAAGTAGAAAAGAACAGAAGTGACTTATATACGGAAAAGTCAGAACTAAGCAGTTCATCTTCGTTATCCGATGGGAATAGAGTAAATGACGTGAAGACATGACATGTAATTTCTAATGACAATTTTCAATTGAGATATAAAAAATTTAAATTTAATGAGGTGCTAAAGTGTACATGCGTTCGATACGCTCTATAAATAAAACTTCATGAAATTTCATCTATCGGATAGCTTTAAGGGTTTAACACTTAAACTAATTAAAAATAAATTCTAAACCATTGATTAATTTAAATATCAAAAATTACATGTGGATCTCGTAAAGTAGAAAAGTATAAAAAAATAAAAATTGAAAACTAAAATTTAAAGATCATAAATTTTATTTACATAAATAAACATAAATTATGCTTAAAGTGTGAAAAGTCTCTAGTGGTTCATACGGAATGGGAAAAATAAAATAATAAAAATAAAAAAAACTAAAAAAAAAAAAAAAAAAACAGCACAGAATGAATCAAATCAAACTCAACCAACCATACAGCTAGCTAGTCAGTCAGTCAGTCAGTCAGTCAGTCAGTCAGTCAGTGAGGCAGCCATACAACCAAACAAGCTGTGCTGTGCACTCAGTATGATCGGTGAGCAGCAACAGTAGCTGAAAATTTTACGATTTGTTTTATATTCATTTGCGTAAACACAAATATATACATAGAATATGACAGAGATGTGTTACTGCAAGGTTTCGAAGACCGTATAAACGTATGTATATAGACAAACGTGTGTGATTGTACGGCTAATACCAGATAATAAATGCTGACTGTCTGTGTGGGCGTGTATGTGCGCGCGTGTGTACGTATATTTGTTTGAATTTACGTTTTTTTTTGTGTTTTTTTGTAGTTGAAAAATCCTTTAAAAGGTCTGTTGGGTAAATTACAAGGCTTGCAGCTCTTAACTTAAGCTCTTCGAATTCTCAAAAACGTGAGATTTCTAAGACAATCAGTTTAAGGTTACTTTGTAAAATCTTTGAAAAATCCTTTAAAAGGACTGTTGGGTAAATTACAAGGCTTGCAGCTCTTAACTTAAACTCCTCGAATTCTCAAAAACGTGAGATTTCTAAGCCAATCAGTTTAAGGTTACTTTGTAAAATCTTTGCGCAGTTGGCTTAATATTTTTTGGGATGAGTTACACCTAAATAAAAGCTATAGTATCAAAAGTTCTTTGAAACTTGGTGAGTGTAGAGCATCTAACATATTGTCTAGAAAATATATATATATTCCGCTTTCCAACTTGTTTTTCTATCTATTCATTTATTTTATTCTGGTTTGCTATTCAAATCCAATACTCAATGACAAGTGCCACACTTTTATAACACGTTTGGCAAAACGGGAAAGAAAATGATTTATTTACCAACAAAGTTGACCTTTTTTATTATTTAAATAAATTGATTTTGAGTTTCATTTAAAATTACAATAAATTATTAGTTTACATATTTGTTAATCGTTGATTGAAATATTTTCTGGAATAATCCAATTTTCCGGGACCATGAAAAATGTAATATTTGTAAAAAAATGGCTAATAAGGTAATGAAAGTCATCTATGTATGGATGTTGAAGCGCCGGTAATCGACTTGTAAGCAATAGATCATCATTATCAGAATTCTTCGCTTGAAAAACGTTGTAAGAGTTACTTCAGTCGTTTTCCTTTCGAAAGTATGTCAAAAATGGTGACTTCGTCAGATGACAATTACACAATTTGTCAGTTTTATGCTTGAACTTATAACTTCTGCACATTGATTACTGCAATTATTCTGTTGATAGCTGAATATTTAAAACTCTTTGAGTTTGATTGATGGGAGTCCGATTCGAGATGACCGCATAGATATGAGAAGTATCAAGAATCCAAAATCCTCCAAGCAGTAGCAAATAATAAAATTGTAGCATTGACATGGGACTCAAACTGTTAATAAATGGAAATATGGTTTGTATATGGCTTAAAATCTTTCACTATATAGGGAAATACAGGGGTATTTTCTAAATACATACGATGTTCATTTCATTTATACCAGGCATCAGAAATTTTTAAGTAAGCTGTGCCATTAGTTTCTAACAAGATGGAAGGCTCTTCCAGATTTTTACATCTTCTTATAAGATTTATGAAGAAAATGATTTACCGACAAGACAGCAATACGAGTTTGTACGGAAACTAGGATGTCGAGCAATCTAGGAGACATAACTGACGAATAAGGATGTGGTGTAGCTTCCTTCATCATTCCTTATATAATTTTGTCTTTTGTTTTTTTATATTTTAATTTATGTTATTCTTGGTTAAAATGAAACTCATCTCTAAAGATTTCTTTATACGCAGTTGTGTATGTTTTAGGCATTTTTTTTCACTCTTGTAAAATATTCCAAGAACTAACCTAAATTCACTTCTTAATCTTTAAATAATTTATATACGCATGTATGCTTGCATGTACGCATCTAGGCGTGCTTGCTTTATTAAATATTTCCATAAATTGAAGTTTTGAGTGAGTTCGAGTGGCTTAATATCATAAAAGATTTTTACTTATTTAATGGCTCTCAGCTGACTTAATTAAGTCCGTGTCGATATGAAAACACAGCGGGATAATATGGAGACGTTGGGTAGAGAGCAACTTTAACATTATCCGGAATGTTAAGTGTTGTTATTCACACTTTAAATTTAATTTTGTTACTGTTGTCGCTAGTGGTGGTTCTTTTTTCCATTTATGTTATCCAAAGACCATAAATTAAAATACCAGCATCAATATCTTTAGTATTTTATGTTTTCCTCGTATTCTTAGTTTGGTGTGCTATACGAATCGATTTTTATGTTCTTTGTGTTACTTATATAGTTTTTATTGTTTGTGATAGAACAAAAGCAAACAAGTTTCGTATAAAATAGAAAACTGAAAATAAAATATATATAAATGTGCACACATACCTGGTGGTCCGGCAGGACCCGGCGGACCTTCAATAATGCCAGTAGGAAATTCGTCGCCTTTGATTGTTGTGGTAAGACCACGATCACCACGATCACCTTTGTCACCCTAACAAAGGAAAAATACAAATAGGAATATAAACGTTAATCAAACAATGTTAGAGATAATTTTTTAAGGGAAAGACAATGAACGAAACGTCTGAGCCTTTTTTAAATGGGAAACACATTGTAATCATTTCTTTTGTATTATTTTAACTATGAAATATGCAGCTTTTTCGTAAAAGAAAACGCAAATGTTTGTAAATCAAATCCCAAAAAGTATTATCTTTGACGCCATTTGCTGTTTTTTTAGCCTAAAAGTATTAGTTTGCTTACTTTAATGCCAAAAGGACCTGTAGGACCTGGAGCTCCTACTGGCCCGGGCTCTCCTGGCGGTCCTGCAGGGCCAGGAGGTCCTGTTTCGCCTGGCGGCCCTTGTTCCCCATTCATGCCAGGTGCACCCATATCTCCAGGTGGTCCCGGCGGGCCTGGTGGACCCGGTTCGCCGGGTTCTCCCTATATTAGCCAGATAATAAAAAAGTTGTTGGGCTTTAAAATTCAATACTGAAGTTCGACATTTGTTTGAAATATTTACATACATGCAATATTCTACACAGAAACGCGGTACATACTGTCACCTCTTACAACTTACCTTGAGTTGTATTACAGTGGCCGTCGATACGTTAACACCGGCTTCTTGTAAGCCCTTTGTATGTTTAATTAATTTTTTGTTATTTAAACGTTTTCAAAATATAATTTTTAATATAAGCAAAAGAAATTCGGAAATAAAAAGAAAAGAGAAAAGAAAATCAAGAGCAAAAATTAAACAAACAAGTTAAATAAAAAACATCAAAAGAAAAATGTAAAGAAATTCCTTAAAGCCTCATCCGTCGTTCATTCCATAACCTGACCTCATAATATTAAGCAGTCGCTATACTTCTAAAATCTGCTTCTAATTGCACTTCATTCTGTTGCAAAACAGTAGTAAATAAATGTCAATCGTAGCTTTTGAGTTCGGATACTCAGCTGAAGTATTCTTCATTATCGAATTATTTTGAGTCGCTTGAATTATGAATTGGGTTTTGTTTTCCGTTTCTCACTCATCTCGACTTTCTATTTGGTTTTTCTGTTCTCGAAAATTTATTCGACCACCAACCACCGTGGATCGAAATTTGAAAACACTTTCACAGACTACTCCAACTTTCAACGATTTGAAGTCAGTTTTCTAAACTGATCCATCAACGGCAGCTTACAGTAAATAATTTGATCTTTACACTTATGTTCGGTCAACTTCATCTTGAAGCGCAAAGATAATGGACCAAGAGTGAGAATTTCTGTCGATTGCAAATGGAAACACTTTTCTCAAACTGACCATGAATTTCTTGCTTGTTAGTTTTACGTTTACAAGAGAAAAATAGTATCTGAAATAATGTTCGATTATAAGTCCTCAAGTCTACATATAACTATCGGTTATTTTGAAGAATTAAATTGAAGAAAATTATTTTAAAAAGTCAAAGAAAGTTTAAAAGTAATTAATTAAAAATATTAGACCGGAATAGCTTACCTCAAATATTAAGAACTTCTACATTAGAATAAAAGGTAAGAAGTTACTTAGTTTTCTTTAATACACAAAAACCACTACAGACACATATAACTAAAAGCAAAACACCAACACATTACCAAGAAGATATGTATATATGTATAATTATTATACATTCTTTTGCTATATACCTTGACAGCCACAATTTCTGCATAACCTAAAGTGCCGCCGTGTAAAGTAGTCACAGATCTCTTTAAACCCTAAACATAAACATAAATTTTTTTACATAACTTTTAGTAAACAAATCTAATGAAAAATGTCTTAAGCATTGTTTGGTTAAAAGGGTACACAATTTTAGGTTATCCATTAGTTGTATGAAAATGAGTAAAGGAAGGTGTAAGTGTAATGTTTTTACCTTAACGGTTTGAAAAACATCAATGCCAGGATGACCAACATCACCTTTCGAACCCTTTTCGCCCGGTCGCCCAGGAGCGCCATTCTCACCATCTAAACCATTAATACCCTGTTGCGTGTACGAGAAAGTGAAAGCAAATTTGTAGCAAAACAAAATTCATTTAATTACCGGATCTCCTTTTTCGCCGGGGTCTCCTTTTTTGCCGCGTTTCCCCCGTTTGCCTGGTGGCCCCGGTGGACCGGGGGGACCTACATAAGTGAGAAAACATAGAAAAAAGGTCGTTTCGTTAATTCTCAAATTTCTTGTATAGTTTTCTTTTTTATACATTTTTAAGCCAAGAGATAAATATACTTTTACTGGTTTTGTTGGACCAAAACTTTTATTGAACTTAAGAAAAAAATATAAGAAAAAGGGGAAAAAACTTCGCTATTCTTTTGTTTTATGCGCTACAAATGTCCGCAGTTTAAAACTGTAATTGCAATATGGTTTAACTTCCTGGCCACCAAACCGTCACCCGGTCAGCTCTACATTTCCATTCATTTATTCATTACAGTTCGCAAAAAAAAAAAAAAAAAAAAAAAAAACTTTATTCCTTTGTATATAACACTGGAGCTAACAATAACAACAACCGTAACAAGTGCTGGCTTTTCATTCTTTTTTTGTGGAGTCACGGCGGTGTAACCGCCATTTGGATTACTTGACTTGTGTTGCTTGAGTTTTTGTTTTCTTGTTTTTCCTTTTTTGCTTTAGTCCTAATGTTTCATTACTCAAGAGAGAGGAAACATTTTAAGTTATATAAACTATAAAATGTTTTATTCTATGAGTAAATTAAATGAAAAGAGGAAGAAGCTTAGGGAACAAACGGACAAACAAATTACAGAGAAGAATTTTTATAGTTTTAATTTAATTTTCATTTTTGTGCTTTTCTTTTTTTTCCCATTCGTGTGCGTACTTCGTTCCTGATTAACTAAAACAATTGTTTAGATCTAAATGACTATAAAGAATAATTGGTTGGTTGATCTTCTTAAAAGCGATTACGTGCGCATTCAAAACGATCGTACACAAATGATATTAGTTTTAAAGCAAAATTACTTTTTATCATTCAATTAGCAAATGTATAAAAAAACAAATAGGAAAACTATATTCGATTGCGGCCGAATCTTTTATACCCATCACCGTTATCCTAAAAAAGACAAGCGAGGCTAAACTACTAAGAACTAAGTTTTCATGCTCGATAACATGGAGTGCACGCAGCCGATTTTCTCTATTTTCAAACAAAAAGTTTTTGTCACATAGGCGTGTCCTTGAAAAAGTTTAAGTTACTGCTAAATTCTTTTGCAAATTTGTAAGCGATATCATCGTTTTCGCCAACAGAGGAAATTTCACTACAAATACTACACAGTTACGCTAAGTGGACACATGGACAGACGAAGAGAAGGACAAGTCTAGATGCATTGGAAATTTGGCCAAAAATTTATGTACATTATGGGGTTCTTGAAGCTTGTTTCTTCGCCTCATAAAGATATTGATGGAAAAACAAATTCAATTTTTATACACTATAACATTGGCTAAGTGGTTGAGTCAATTTTTTTCATTTTTGCGCAGGTACTACAGCATCGCCCATATTTTTGTACATATGCCTGTTATAGTTTTTGAGTGATTGGCAAAAACCCAATTTTTTTATTCCTTTTGAAAATCGATCGAATATAATTTTCTTACTTATTATGTTTTAAAGCGAATTTTTCCTTAATTAAATAATTTGCTTTCTTAATTAGTGTTGCTGCGGTTATAAGATTAGCCATTAAGAAAATATTGCAGTAACATTTAAGTAACATTTGAAATAATTAAAATTCAAGGTCGTGAATATGAAGACCTTACGCTTTCCTTCATAAAGGTCTCTGATTGGATTACTTATTGCTTTGCAAAGGCCTTAATTAAATTTAAAATTCAACAGTTGAACAAAAAAGTTTCAGAAAAAAGGAAGAAACCGAAAGTTAAGAGAATATGAATGATTAAACGAACAAACAACTAAACAAAAAAATGAACCACCTTGCCTACAAACAATGACCTCCTACGAAAACAAACTAATGACTCGCAAGGACTTTTACTAACTATCATGAATAACATTAGAAAACAGCAAACAAACGAAGCGGGCAGGAAAAGGAAGCCTGAATGAAAAGCACGAACGTTAAGAGCAAACTCTCGGCACTCCATTCGCTATATTCGCGGCTCTTATAATTGTGGTAATTAAGTAATTTTCGGTTAGAGTGTGCAGTGTTAGTCACTGAAACGCAAAAGAAGCAAAACGCGAACGGACATGCACACAGTCATTGAAGGTAACCAGAGAAGCTTGTAATTTAAATTCATTGCATGTTAGCAGTGCAGTAGAAATCCCACATCACACGCCTTCAAGTTTATAAATACATAAATACGTACACACATACAATTACGTTTTGCACACCCATATGAAATTACAGACGCTCTTCTAGGCATTGTACGATAGCTATTAAAAGGTTTTTCCAGCTCCCATGGAACATTAAAGGAAATTCCTTTGCACTAAATATTTAGACAGGAAATATTTAATTAAAAAAATCTCATAAAGTCTTTAAATAAAAACAGAAGACTTAAGGCACTTGCAACGCCCATTAAATTGATAAATGTTCGTATTTAAAAATACATGTACACTGTATTCTGTTTTAGCAACTTTCGAAAGAGGCAAGTTTGCGCGTATTCCTGTGGAGCTGCTTCGTTACAATTACCTTTAGGACAAAAGAACGATTTGTCATTAAATTCGAACAAAGCTTTAGTTATATCCTGTTCATGTGCATGCGGTCCTTTACAACCTTTTAGTAAAATTAGTTCCTAATCTCTTAATAATATACTTAGCCGCAGCGTCTTTAGAACGGCGCAGATCTACCGAATATAATACAAAATAGTTTCAATAAATTCGGGTAAAAAAATGTTATTCCCCCGTTAAAGTCAGCGAGAGAGCGTCGCTTTCACCTGCGAAAGGTTGAAAAGCTGTGTGTACATATTTTTATGCTTTACACCCTTTGCAAGGGTACCTCAAGGGTAGGCTTTTGAAAAAACCAAGACACTTGAGGTGGCTTTTTCATTATACCAATCAATTCCCATATTTATTGTGATGGGTATCAGAAGGTCTGTCCATCATCTTATGCGACGTCCGCCCATGCATTCTCATGTTCAGCTTGTGGATTACGGTTTTCGAGCTGTTTTTTGATGATCCTGTGATCCTTCAAGCTAATTGCAAAAATTAATGAAGGATTGAAACGTTTTGAAAACTTTAAACGCGTCTTTCGTAAAGCATCATATTCTACAACGACACGAAACATAGCTTTAATTTTTTTTCATTCTTTTCGTTCGAATTGTTTGCAATAAATTTATAAAAACATTTTCTGTTGGAACCGCGGAATTTCGATAAGTTAATTTGAAAATTATTCACTGATAGAAGATTGATTTTTTTCGTTTCAAATCAAGTTTACCTATTAAAATGATCGCCAGTCGCACAAAGAAGAAAGTCCTTGTCGGATTTTACTAGCTGCGAGCCCCTTCAATTAAAAATGTTTAATAATTTTATCAAGCGTTGTTATCCATTAAAAAAAAAAAGAGAAGTGCCAAAAGATCTTTTCACGCTCATATATTGGTGCTGTAGTCTAATATGGCTGGCGATTGTGACGCCAACACTAAGTTACGGCAAATAGCGAAATAGATGTCTTTTGCATGTTTTCTTGCTGTGAGTAATAATGATTGATGTGAAACTAACGTCTCTTTTAAAATACTTCGCTCTCCACGCATTAGTGGAAAAAATGTGCGCTACCTCTGAAGTACCAAAATCATGACTCTGAAAAGTGTAAGAGGTATGAGGACAGTTGCGCAGCATGTGAAGCAAACGCACTGAAGTGGAAAGGATGACTAGAATATAAAAATTAGAGTTATTTAAAATGTGAGAGCACGGACAACGCAAACTCAGATGGGTGCCCGTTTAGCCGGGGAAAGTGGACAATATCCAGATTTTTGTTTTGTGAATGCTTGCCTGGAGTGAAGCTGATACGACTTGTCACATTGTTGCCTGACAAACAAACTTACACTTCGGTAGGTTTTTGGCTATTTTGCTGAATTTCTGTTGTCGGTGTTAATCTTTGTGTGATAGTTGAAATTGCAAGTTTACGTGTATTCATGCGTTGCCACGCCGTTAGAAGAAATACGCAACTCGGTTTCGAACAAGCCCTCGGTGTCAGTGGTACTTTCAGAGGAGCTTCACGTATCGTCGTTGCAAGAATTCAATTTTAGAGCTTTTCTTGCGCCTTTGTCGGAATGAACGCGTCAGAGATGTCTTGGCGCGGAATTTCTCACTCAGCCAGCAATACGCTTTCTATTCACCCCACACGGAATATTTTCATTTCTCTTCGGGATATCAGAGATCAGTCATGGACGAATCCACTCACAGATGCCTTACACAGCCAATATTTTTTTTAATATTCCTCTTCTTTGCATCCAACCTCCAACATCCAAAGGTGAAGTATGAATATAACTTTTGCAATTCGAATTAAAACACTATTATTTCTGCATGGAAAAAAAAAAATTTTCTTTACATTTATTGCCAAAATCACCGCGCTTATCGGCTAAATTGTAGCAATAACAACCAAATCGTTATGATATCAACGCATCCGTTGAATACGATGAAGCTGTTATGCTAAGACTTTTTCGTGCAGTGATATAGCTTTAAAGTTGTCATTATGGTGATGAAGATGATGATAATGACGAAGATGTTCAAGGTATTTGCAAGATTTTTATACCCATCATCGAAGGATGAGGGATATATTCATTTTGTAAAACCGTTTGCAACGCCCAGAAGGAGACCCAAAAAATTACATATATTCTTGATCAGCATAAAATTCTAAATCGATTTAAGAATCTTCGTCTGTGTAATGCGTGTTTTAAACATTCTCCCGCCTGCAAAAATGAAGGTATCGACTTCCAGTTTGGCAGAAACATTGGAAGCTCTTGCATGCACGTTGATACTGAACATGGGCCAAAGCATTCGACGGACAAGTCCACAGCACTACAGAGACTGAGAACACCCCTGTTTTGCAAAAAAAATTAAAAATTGGTTTGTTGCTCATTATTAATAAACAATAGCAGATAAATGTACAAAAATATGAGCGATGTTGCAAATTTTTCTTTCAATACCTTTGTGAGGCGCAGAAATAAACTTCAAAATCCCCAT